CTATTGCTGTCAGCAGCTTGTATCTGTCAATTTAAGTCTAATTATAGAGCACACTGGAATCCTGTCTGGCACAGGCATCAATCAACATATTTCAGTATGTAGAGGGGATTCATTTTAAGGCTGCATTTTAATTTTCAATATATAACCGTGGTGGCGAACCTATGGCACGTGTGCCACAGGCGGCACACAGAGCCATCCCTGTGGGCACGCGCACCATTGCCACAGACAGAGGAATGCAAGGCCAGGCTCCTCCCCTCCCCCTTTCCACGCATGCAGAGTCTGGGAACAGCTGCGAGAGCTGGGTGGGGTGAGGGAACCTATAAAAGGAGCAGTTTTGGCGGGTGAGTGAGTGAGCGACCTTTGGAAGTGACCAGTGGTGGGTTTAAAATCATTTACCAGTTCTCTGCCTTGCCTTCCCTCCGTCTTGGTCAGGCTGGGCTGCTCGGGGGGTCAGCTGGGATGGGGGCAGGAGAGTGGGGGTCATCAGGTCCCGGCTGGGGGAAGGTGATGGGGTCTGGCTAGGTGGAGTGGGAGGGCTGGGACGCCTCCATGGAGGAAAGCTGCCCCCCCGCCGGCCGAGCCTCTCATCCACCTATGGTCACGTAGGATTGTATAGAAGGGGCACCAGGCAGGGGGCTGGGGGGTGGCCAGCAGGGGGAATCAGAGACACCATCTCCCTTCCACAGTGCAATCACATCAGCCAGGGCGGAGACGGCACCTGGACAGCCGGAAAGGAGCCCTCACCTGGTGTGGGCTCTATCTACACAGTGGCTCTGACAGGGGCAGCGGGTGCTGCTCCTACTGCTGCTCTGAGCCCCTTGACCAGCCAACACACAGGGAAGTAGGAGACAGCAGCAGTATCCCTGCATTGCCAAGCCCGGCTGGCAGCAGATCTGGAAGTAAAGCTGTGCCGCCCATACTCGTGCTAGTGGAGGCAGCGATGGAGGAAGGTGAGCTGTGGTGCACACCCACCCCTCCCCGCTGCCACCCCACATCGTCCCACATGCACGGCCCGAAGGCGCACGCAAAACGATGTGGGGCAGCAGGGGCAAAGGGTGGGTGCATGCCAGATCCAGCCTTCCCCTGCGCCGCCGCCCCCACCAGCACGAGGATGGGTGGCACAGCTTCGCTTCCAAATCTGCTGCTTGACACCATTGGTCCCCACACACAGAGGCCAGCGAGCGCATGGGGCCGACGGTGTCCGTCAGCAGCCACAGCATGCTGGCTATCCTGAATAATGGTGAACTGGCCATGGAGCCCCAACGGCGTGGGCAGAGACAGCCCCAAGACGGCCGGAAGGAAGCCCTTGCCCGGCCTGGGCCCATCCACTCAACGATTCTGACGGGGGTGGCTTCTGCTACTGCTCTGACTGGTCAACCATGCAGGGAAGCAGGAGGAGGTGGAGGGGCAGCCAGGAGTCTGGAGCTGCCTCGGCTGCTTGCTGGCAGCCCAATGAAGCAGCGGATCTTGCACACCAGCTGCTCCTCTTGTTTCTCTGCATGGTTGACCGGTCGGAGCAGCAGCAGAAGCTGTCCCCATTAGAGCCGTCAAGTAGATGGGCTGGGCTCCCTTCCAGCCATCCTGGGGCTGTCTCTGCCCGCGCTGATGGGGCTCCTTAGCCAGTTCGCCATTATGCAGGACAGCCAGCATGCTGTGGCTGCTGACAGACACCATTGGCCCCCATGCGCTCACTGGCCTCTGTGTGTGGGGACACACTATCTGTATTTTGGCACTAAGAAATCCCACTAACCTGCCCAGAAAGGAAAATTTGTATTATTTTTTTTTAGAACTAGAGCAGAATGGGAGAAAACAGAGAAGTTGCTGGACTGAAGAACAAGTTGGATTGAAAATCTTCACATGGTCTCAGAATTAATTTATTGGAATTTTCAGAAGAAATACCTGTAGCAGGAGCACCATCGGCTTGGGCGGAGATGGCCCCAGGACGGCCAGAAGGGAGCCCAGCCCATAAACTCCACGGCTCTGATGGGAGCGGCTTCGGCTCCTGCTCCAACCGGTCAACCATGCAGGGAAGCAGGAGGGGCAGCTGGTGCACGAGATCCGCTGCTTCATTGGGCTGCCAGCGAGCAGCCCAGGCAGCTCCAGACCCCCAGCTGCCCCTTCACCTCTTCCTGCTTCCCTGCATGGTTGACTAGTTGGAGCAGCAGCAGAAGCCACCCCTGTCAGAGCCGTTGAGTGGATGGGCGCAGGCCGGGCAAGGGCTTCTGGCTGTCCCGGAGCCGTCTCTGCCCACGCCAATGGGGCACCATGGCCAGTTCACCATTTATGCAGGACAGCCAGCATGCTGTGACTGCTGATGGACACCGTCGGCCCCATGTGCTCGCTGGCCTCTGTGTGCGGGGACTGATGGTGTCAGGCAGCAGATCCAGAAGCGAAGCTGTGCCACCCATCCTCGTGCTGGTGGGGGCGACGGGGGAAGGCGGGATCTGGCATGCACCCACCCTTTGCCGCTGCTGCCCCACATCGTCCTGCGTGCACCTCCAGACCATGCATGCGGGATGATGGGTGGCAGCGTGGAGGGGTGGGTGTGCGCCACAGCTCACCTTCGTGAGTATGGGCAGCACAGCTTCGCTTCCAGATCTGCTGCCAGCCGGGCTTGGCGATGCAGGGATCACCGTTGCTGCCTTCTACTTCCCTGTGTGGTTGGCCAGTCAAGGGGCTCAGAGCAGCAGCTGCTGCCCCTGTCAGAGCCACTGTGTAGACAGGGCCTGCACCAGGTGAGGGCTCCTTTCCTGGTGTCCCAGGGCCATCTCTGCCCACGTCGATGGGGCTGCCATGATGCAGGATAGCCAGCAGGCTGTGGCTGCTGACGGACACGATGGTGTCAGGCAGCAGCTGCTCCAGCCCCTGCCTCACTTTGCCTTGCCCCACAGCAATTGGCACACCCACCCTGCCTCGCCTCACCCCACAGAATGAGCCTCCGGCCCACCACCCCACCCGCCAGAGACCCCCTGGGTTTTCCCCAACCCTGCCCAGCCCCCACAGGTGTCCCTCCCTACAAGCATTATCGAGGTGGCCACACTCACCCAGTCGGCCGTGACCACCATGGCTACGCCCACCCAGTCGGCCACGCCCAGTCGGCACCTGGCAATAAATAAATGGGTTTTGGGTTGCAGTTTGGACACTCGGTCTCTAAAAGGTTCGCCATCACTGGTGTATAGGACAACCATGACATTTTGAAAATGATTTTGGAAAAGTGCTTCAAATCTTATATGAAAAAGTCATATCTCCGTTATTCATTAAAGTAGCCACATCTTTTTTCAGGCTTTTTAAGGAAATAATGAACAGAGAAAGGGGGGGGGAGGAACTGGCCATCAGAACCATAGAGACTTGCCTATGGTATTAGAAAAAGGATTGATGTTGCTAAATGAATATTGTCTTTGGAAACAGTTGAATTCTGAGTGAAGTAAAATAAAAATGGGAAATAGCTGATAATTGAAACTATGGAGTCACTTTCAATGAGATAGGCAGCCATATAAATCTGGTTAATAAATAAATAAGATAAACATACCGGATAAGAAAAAACAGAACTGAGATATAGAGATATCTTCCTGTGCAATAAATGGAGTGCACTTTAGATACTTAGGCAAAAAGGGAGGTAGCTAGAAGAAAAGCAAAAGAAATGATTTACTAGACAGGCAGATGGAGTTTTCTTTTAATGTAGTGTAAAAATAAGATTCTATTTGTTTTTTAATGTGGTAAGAAAGAAAACACCACATTGTGGCTATGAAAGATGTTGGGACAAAGAATTCAGAAAAAATTGAGAATGGTTCAAACGCAAAAGAAAATTATCTGAAAACAGACAGATTAAAGACTTTTACATAGATTGGATAAAAAATGGTAATGATTTTTTTAAAAATAGCAAATGAAATGATGTGAGTCTGACTCTGGCTCCCTCGGAGAGGGTACGCAACTTGGGGGTCCTCCTGGATCCACGGCTGACACTGGAAGACCAGTTGACGGCTGTGGCCAGGGGGGCGTTTTACCGGGTACGCCTGGTGCACCAGTTGCGGCCTTTTCTGGACCGGGATGCCTTGCGCACAGTCACCCATGCTCTTGTCACCTCCCGCCTGGACTACTGTA